AATCAGGTTATAATTAAAATAATATAAATTAAAATAATCTACATATTCACCTAACACAATCACACCCACCCATCTCAATTTTAATCTCAAACCCTAACTTAAAGTTTACTCTCTCTCTCTCTCTCTCTCACTGGCCGTGGCTTTGGAGGGCAACTTGGAGTGTAATTGCTCAAAATTTCCCACAATTGGTATGTTACCTGTACCCTTTTGGCCCTCAATTTCATCAATGCCAATCAAATTAGCACTAAAACCAGCATCAGATTCAAAAAATGGCTCAAGAGGTTGTTCTTTGCGTGAGCAGCTTTGGGCCAAGTTCAATTCATATGATTTGTTGTTGATTGGCTCAAATGAGTTGTTGCCCATGTGTTTTCCTTCATCAATTGCAGTTTGGGCAGGTAAATTGAAGATTCGCTCCTAGCTCAATCACTATTAAGCTTTGTGTGTATACGTTCCTTCGAGGAGTACGATGTGGTTTGCAGTTTCTTCAAACAACTCCTCGGCTTTCGCATTTTCATTGTGAGATGGAATCAAACACTTCAGAGCTTGCAGCTTGTCGGAAATCGACCTGCCACCGTGATTTCTATCAATGTGGGTGGATCTTGTGTTGATTCCAGGTTTGCAGAGGTTTTTGCATGAGTTTGATGATCTCACCCTCAGCCGTCTCTCACAGAGATTTTTGGTTTTGAACCCATGAGGTGGCAGTAGAGTTGGAAGTGGTGGTGATGATGGCGGCGGAGTATGGATTGGTGTTGTAACAGGGTCAAAAGAAATCATATTGACGATGAGGATGTTTGTGCGGTAATGTGTCGCGGGGGTGGTGGTACAGGTTATGACAATGGTGTTACAGGTGGTAGTGGATCTGGTTGTGGTGGATCTGATTTCCATATTTCGGTGGTATTGGGGGTTTTTGGTTGATTTTTGTTGGTGGTGTAGGTGGAATTGCTGACGATGGCGGTGAGGGTTGGTGATGATAATGGTGGTCACGGCGGTGGTGCGATGGTTGTACATGGGATGCGCATGGGGTAGGGGGTGTTTATGACCAATTATTTGAGATTGTGAGTTTGTGACCAATAAATTGTATTATTAATTAAATCATAAATAAATTATAATAAAAACCTGATTTTTGAAATTTAAAATCACCATCCTTAATTTTGAAATGGTGATACTTAAATACCTTATTTATGTATGGTTCGCTTGATATATTTTGAATTCAGTCCATTTCACGTTTTTCATTAGACATTAATTCAATAAATGTCCCTTCCATAATTAGACATTAATTCAAAAAAAGAAGGGAGAGAGAAACACTTCTATGTTGAAAACAACTACAATTCTATGCTAGAAAACATAATTTGAATCATCATAACCTCCATATATCGATCAAGATACATCTCCTTGGAGTCATCGTTGGTTTATGTTTTCATTTTGGCACAAGGTATGTTCGATTTTTCATCTGAATTCTATATACAATTTACAGTATTATCTCAATTCATTTATGTAAAATATGAAGTTAGTAAAAAAAGAAAAAAAAAAGAATATTATCACAAAATTTCGGATGTTCTGTGACTATGAATATATACTGTGAGTTGGAATATTTTAGAAAAACTTATTTGATAATGCAGAAATTCTAAGAAAAACACCATGAATCTGAGATGGCATATTGCATTATTGCCACAATATAATTGTGGATTAATAATTTTTGGATAATCAACATATGTCATAATGGTGTCTCTGTCTGCAATCAATGAATGGATTTCAGAAATTGTATGGCATTTAATCTTCTTACACAACGATTTTAAGGCTGCATATGACGGTGTTATAATCCTAACTGACTCCATCGTCGATAATATATTGATCATGCTGTATGTTTCAGCTTCAGTTCTACAAAAAGTTGAAAGTATCTAAACCGATTTCTTTTATCTTTGTACAGAAATGGATGCAATAAACGTCTTTGTAATTAATAGGACAGATACTTTCGGTCTCCATATTCCTTTTGGTTGCAATTACATAGGACTTGTCGATATGATAACGAATGAGCTGAAGGTTGATAGAAGACATTCGTGTATCAAGATTGCGTATACTGCAGATGTATAAATGTCCCCATTCCAGATAATGAATGACAATTTTATGCAATTTTACTAGAAGCTTAAGCATAGGGATCCATGGATTACGGAGTATACATTACGTATCAGCATGATTGAGGTCTTACAATCCACAAACTATGTACCCATACTGACTATTACGGAACAAAGTGTAGTTCAATCGGATCACTTCAATGATTCACACCTTCCCACAGCTGATTTGTCAATAAGAAATCCAGGTACAAATGATTTCATATCAAGCATTGATGTATCAGAACTGGAGATGAAAGATTACAAATTTGAAGAAATGACGAGTATAGCTATGTAGCCTGACGTGCAAATTTATAGGTGAAAATCATAGTTTTTGGTAAAAAAGATGTCTTGAAGAACCTGATTTTAAGTTCATTAGTCTAAACCCTTTAGATGAATACATAAAATCGTATTTTAGATGCAATTGATATGAATGTGTAGATGAATAGATGTGGTTTACATTTCATAAACTTAATTGATTTCACAAAACACATTTCAAATGTAAATAGCATCTTCTACAAAATTTCAAATGCAGAGTAAGACTATATAAATTTCATAGCAACATTGCACACCCTGAACTGTCAATCAAAAATACCATATTCAGCCAAAGTTTAGTGCCAGGCGGGAACATGAATATGCTTTCAATGCACGCCAATAACCCATCACCATTTACACTACATTCTACAAATATTCATTGCAAACGTAGCACATCTTGAACTGTAAATTAAAAGACCATATTTCAACTAAGGTAGTGCAACTCGGCAGCATGATTATATTTTCATTACACTACTTTCAAAAATAATGATGTTTTTCATAATAGTTAACATGTCAAAAAGACGTAACATAAAATACAGAACAAAATTACATGAAGATGAAATTGAAATATGCCACACACATCTAACTCGCTACTGTTTTTTTGGTAGAAATTGGAACTGCTACTGTTTGACTGTTTGTTGCCATAATTGGCTGGAACATATAACCCACTTCGTATCACCTAAAATGATCAGAATTTGAGAGCAGATCTTCGAAACTAGGCCTCCGATTAGGGTTTTAAATGGCAATAAAGTCCCAATTAGTGCTAAACATAAGATCAATAAATTGATTTTGTGGAATAATGGTAGAGATTAGGGTGCTTGATATCTGTAGAAGATCAATTTCTATTATCATTTTTGGGATTTCATGAGAGGCATTCACTTTTGAGAGTATTTATGTGCAATGGTGGATTTTGAGATTGGACACCAATTTAGGGGTTGTGAATGTGATTAACTTCTACGAAGGCCTTGTTTAAGGGAGTGAAATTAACTATAGTCTACATCAGTGTTCTAAAAAACGTAAATCGTGTCGAGAACGAGATTCGGCCTAGGCGAGCTTAGGCGAAGTCTAAGCGTTAAAAAACGTTTTCTTATTTTTATATTATTTTAAAATTTTAAAACTATTTAATAATTAAAAGAAAAAAAGCTTTGAAAAAAAAGTGCGCGCTAAACACGCCTAGGTGTGAAAAAAAAATAAAAAAAAGTTTAAGAAAATTAAAAAAGTGCAAAAAAGCGCGAAATGTGGCGTTTTGCTTCTGCTTCTAGATACTGCCTTTCAGAACACTGGTTTAAATGCATATATGAATTGATTACTATTCACTTTTTAATTTTACTATAATAAAATAGTATTCAAGGAGTAAAGATTGTAGCAACCCGATGCGAACCCACATAGCAATTGAAATTACGAAACCCACGACAGATTAGATCAAACCTAAGAAAGTTAAGAATCAATGTTTGAAAGAAAGTTCGACCCAATAAATTATTGAACCAAGAAAATTGCAACAATATCTTGATCTCCTGATCACAAAATTTATTAACCTTTCTTTAATTGTTGAACGCCACACAAATTTAATTGTTGATAAGTTCGGAATTAATTGGATGAAGAATGAGAAGAAAGCAATATGCCTTACAATAATATCTCTCAAATTGTATGTTTTTACAATGAAAATAATGATCTTATTTATATGAAATCCATGAAACCCTAATAACATTGAAATTAAACTCTAAAAATAACAAAAGATATCACAAAATAGAGTTTTAATTAAAATAAAAGATTGCGTGCAATTTGGAAAATGCGTGTCCCAGTTTGAACTATGCGGCCGCATAGGCTAATGGCATGTATGCGGTCGTATATGTCAGTCATCAGCTTTCAACTGAGTTTTGATAAGGGGCTATGCGGTCACATGCTTAGTTACCCTATGCGACATAGGTCTTCATTTCAGCTCTCTCATCCGCCGCTCGAACTAAGTTGATCTATCTTGTTCCGTCCTCCATGTCCAATATGAAACTTGTCCATTTACTTGTCGTGGTCAATATTTTGTCCACTGTAACTTGAGCAAGTAGTCATATTCTTCTTTGACCCGTTTCGCTAGCGACCTAGTCATAGGACTTTCCCAACAATCAATGGATCGTTGCCCGGACTTGCCCTCGAATTTCTGAAAAGTGCTCTTTCCTCAAGTGTACCCAAACCCAATTTTCTGGTTCAAATGTAACGTGCTTTCGTCCCTTATTTGCTTGAAAAGCATAATGCTCAGTTTTCTTCTCAATTTGGCACCGTACCTTTTCATGGAGAGATCTTACCAACTCGGCCTTATTCTTTCCATCTAAGCTGCCTCTCTCATCAATAGGTAAAGGAATGAAATCCAAATGTGTTAGTGGATTAAACACATAAACTACTTCAAACGGTGAAAACGAAGTAGTAGAGTGGACAGTTCTATTATAAGCAAATTCAATAAAAGGTAAACACTCCTCTTGTCATGGAGAGATCTTACCAACTCGGCCTTATTCTTTCCATCTAAGCTGCCTCTCTCATCAATAGGTAAAGGAATGAGATCCAAATGTGTTAGTGGATTAAAACCATAAACAATTTCAAATGGAGTATAAGAAGTAGTAGAATACGTGACCCTATTATATGCAAATTCTATGAATGACAAACAATCATCCTCAACTCTTCAAGTTCTTATTGACCAGAGTACGCAATAGTTGTATCATAGTCATATTAACAATTTTGGTTTGCCCATCCGTTTTTGAGTGACAAATTGTAGAGAATAATAGCTTAGTGCCTAACTTACCCCACAAAACATTCCAAAAATAACTAAGGAACTTAATATCCCTATTTGATATAATACTTCTAGGCACCCTATGTAAGCACACTACTTCCTTAAAGAATAAATCCGCAATATTAGTGGCATCATCAGTTTTATGACATAGAATGAAATGAGTCATCTTACTAAATCTATTTACCAGAAATGAGTCATCTTACTAAATCTAGTTACCACCACAAATATTGAATATCTTCACTTTCTTAGTCCTAGTTAAACTCAACACAAAGTCCATAAACACATCAATCCAAGGTTCACTAGGAACAAGTAATGGTATATATAAACTCTGAAGTAAAATATTAGATTTAGTCTTTTTACAAGTGATGCATCTACTACAAACCCGATCAACATCAACTTTCATCATAGGCCAATAAAAATGTTCACCTAGCATCTCTAAAGTGTTCTTAACCCCAAAATGACCAATTAGACCTCCACTATATGCTTCACGTATTAATAATTCTCTCATTGAACATTTAGAAACACATAACTTATTTTTTCGAAATAAATCCTATCATGTCTAAAGAATCTATCTG